AACTACTTCTATTATTTATTTATTTCTATGTGAGCCAGTGCACTTGAGCACTTTTACTCTTTCTTAACTCGAGATATTTTTAAAATCCCTCTTTACGCCGACTGGAGTATTGTTTATCACTTTATCAGACTAAGCAATAATTGACCTCAGATCTGCATACCTCCCCGTGGAGCCTGTAACCATTTTTGTTATTTGATAACGCGGTGTTGGTAAGTCTGTCAGTTTTCGCAAATAATTTTAACGGTCTATTCTTTATGTATTTTTTGATGGGATCAATCTTGAGGTCCCTGAGTATGTCATTCGTCCTTATGTGCCATGGTATTTTGAAAAGTCTTCTCAGAGCCTGGCTTTGTGCAATTTCTAGCTGGTGAATAGTAGTTCCTAAACGCTACACAACCATATAGAAGTGATGGACGAATTATTTGGTTATATATCAGTTTCCTGTTCTTAGCATTTAGATTTTCATTTCTGAATAGCGGTTGGAGGTGATGAAGAATTTTGGCACAGCTAATTCTTTTCAGGTGGACATGTTCTATATAAATATATACACGTTAAAGTACATGAATTTTGATGTTAACGTCAATATGACAGTAGTGATTATTTTTACTTTAATAGAAACTAATTTTTTTGGGAAAATCTCTAATAAATACCACAGCTTCTATTAAAATAAAAAATGGTCACTACAATTATATTGACGTTAAAATCAAATTTAATATAGAATTATAATGTACATAATATGAAAAAAAATCCAGTCCCATTGACGCGAATCGTAGAGTTTCTAGATTAGGTTCTATGCCCAAGAAAGTAACAAACTCAAGTAATAACTAATGCATAATTAATTGAATTATTAATTATTAATTACAGTTGATTAATATTTCGTTCTAATATATCACAGCAAGATAATTTGTTAATGAACTTTCACCACAAATTAACAAAACTTCAGAAATAAGAGTTCACATTGTCGTTGGTGGTGGATAATCTTCTTTAGTAAAGTATTCTTAACCATATTATAATATGGAACAGTAGAATAGGTTAAGAATTGTATTGAAATTTAATTCAATTATTCTACAGCTGGTTTATGATTTCTTTCTAATACAAAATAGCAAGTGAATTTGTTAATAAACTTTCACAGTAAATTAACAAAACTCCAATATACGAACATTGGCTAATAAACGCTAACTCTAAGCTTTAAATTTCGCAGGGCACGAGTTCAATCCCTGGTACTTGCAGTGTCAAAAAATTATTTACGAATTATTAAATACAATAAATAATTCCAAGACCATTGATAATGGGTATTTGGCAATACTCGAAACAGCTGTAGGGTCACCTAAAAATTCAATTAATTAAAATGATATTAAAACAAATTTTGTTGTTGTAGTTCACTACTTTTCGGCACCGCCATATAGTATATGCATAACATATAATACAGACATTATACTTTTCTTCATATGGTTACCTCCATATGATTAATAATTTTCTTGACCGTACTGTGATGACAATATTTAAACACTCCGATTTTATAAAGTGCTTTACATATCTTACGAACTACCTACTTTAATAGGTATAGGTTCAATGTGAGAGATCTTTCTTCTTGCATTGGGGAGCTATTAAGATATTTTAAAATATTTACTCATTTATTGAACTTCTGCTAACGTTGGCAAAAATTAATTATAACCTGATAAATTTATTTCTACTATAACAATTTCAACCTATGAATAAATTTTGTTTTAAGTTTAATATAAAAAATTTTTATTAATGCCATCACCTACGTCACATAAAACTATTGCTCTGTTAATGTTTCGTATTTCATCAAACAAAATAAATTTTCTATTTGATACCAGATAGCTTTAAAAAAAAAGTTTTTAATATTTTAACAAGGTATAGATATTTTATTACAGCCCTTCTAAAACAAAAATAATTTCTAATATTCTAAAATATATCATCATATTAAGAATAAATTTCTAAAGTAATTAGTTTAACATAATATAAAATTTATTATAGATTTCAGTCTCTTAACCATTGTAGATTTAAAAATACCGACTTGAATTTATTTATAAAATCCTTTACAAATCGGTCGTCAATCATAAAATAAAGCTTTGATGAAAAACTGGGTCAACATGTCGGTGGGTCAATGTTTCATTTAAACGGCGAATACATCTAATCGATTCGCGTGTAATTGATTTGAAATTTATTATTTTTTATCTGTTTTTCAAAAAAGATTCTTGTAACTTAATTGGCTATTACTGTACACATTCCAATAAATTTAAATTCTATTAGTTAAACAATGCTGACCACTTACATTCTTGCATTTATGGACTCATCATTAATTGAAAACTTAAAGGCAATTTTCAGTGAGATTTTTATTCTCTTACCTAGTTGAAATGATGTTTCACTTTTCCATTTGATTATTTCTTACAGATCCAATCTACATAGATGTCAATGGCGTCACATTAATTATCAATTTAAAAAAAAAAAAACATTTTATTAATTTTTTTGTAAACAATTGTACCAAAAATCATGCCATGTTTTTGAGTAAGTCCTAGTAATAATTTCCACTTAATATATCATATCGTATATGCTTATATGATATTTTAAAGATCATTGCTTAACAGAATCATTAGTGCGAGACATGAGACGCTGTTCTCACAAATATATTCTTATCCTTGTTATATGTTGTTCCAGTATAAGAAGAAAACAGAAGCAGATGTATAGATTATATCGTTAATTTTTCAATATCAAAAAAAAATTTATAAGAAGAAGTATAAGAAAAAAACAGGAGCAGATGTATAGAATATATCGTTAATTTTTCAATATCAAAAAAAAAAATTTTTAATTGATAAACTATTGTTAATGGAATAGATGTGGCAGATCTCACACCCACAACAAATATTAGTCAACCGTAAAAAATTATTGTAGGT